AGCACTTGAGTTTGAACCACAAGTTTGGCAGTTCAAACCCACCAGCTGCTCCTTGGAAACCCTATGAGGGTCGCTATGAGTTGAAACCTACTTGACGGTGCTAAACAATAACAACCTCCACTCCAAAGACGATCCCAGAAATGGAGAAAGGCCTCCAATCACCGCTGCTAGGAAAAAACTAATAGTGCCTGTTACAGACAACATATTCAGAATGGTCAGCATGATTTGAAATAAATAAAGCAACAAAATTCCTCAGGCTCTTATCCTATGCCCTAAATATCTGTAAATCCTCCCTGCCCTTTTCCTCAAGGAGGCAGGTCTGGGATGTTCCTGCTCCCCTGTCCTGTGTAGTGATGCACGATAAATGCTTAGCTCTTTGCTCTGAGTCCTGCCTTTGAGTATTGGTTATTGGTAGCAGGTGATTAAGAACCTTTTTTCCAGTTACACAAGGACCCAGTAAGTATCCTAGATGTGAGATGCTAAGTCCAGGTGGATTCTATGGGCCACCTCAGAAGACAGAAGCTGAGTTGGTGTGAGAAAGTCTCCCATTGGGAAGAAATTGCTTAATATTGCTAGGTGCATATCAAACACTTCATTTAGTTCTGAAAATTATTCTATACTAGTTGTTGTTGTTGTTGTGAAGTACCATCAAGTTGGTTCCGACTCATAGTGACCCTGTAAAGGTTTTTTGAGGAGAGACTGGTGAGCTTGAATCGCTAACCTTATGGTTAAAAGCTACTTTGCAGTCCATCACAGCACCACACCAGGACTTAGTCCCATTATATAGACAGAGTTGTAGCCACTTGCCTGAGATGGCAGCATTGGTTGATTGCAGAGCCCAGATTTTATATAAATGATGCCCTGCAGTAGTAGAGGCCCAGAGTACTGTCCACTTTTATCCAGATAATGCTGGGAATTGGCTAGGCACATATGTCTATGTTCTTACCTCGTCTTTCAGATCAGAGAGAAACAAAGCTTCACAAGCTATCCTTGTGGGTGGGGTGCAGGATGTGGGCCCCACAGGTTAAAAGATATCACAAAAATACAGTGTCACTCAATGTAGTGACTGCAGTCCCAGTTGTCAGCCTTCTTACTTTGAAGTGTACCCTTTGACAAATTATGAAGGAAGCTTCAGTGATAATGATAACAGAATGTGGCTAGTCCATCCTTTGGTAATTAGAGCAGTTTACAGATATAATCTCTAACTTATAAAACAATTTAGCATAACACATTTTACTAATTCCCTTAATAAGGAGTTGTTGTTGTTGTTAAGTGTCGTTGAGTCGGTTCCGACCCATAGCGACCCTGTATAGGGTTTCTGAGGAGCAGATGGTGAACTTGAACCACTGACCTTGCAGTTCAAACTGCTTTGCAGTCTGGCGCATTAACCCACAGCGCCAGAGTAAGGAGTAGAGAAATATAAATAGAGGCTTACACAGCTAGTAGGTGATAAAGAACTTAACTTCAAATGTTCCTAACACTAAAATAAGGAGTCTTTGCACCTTACTGCCTCCTAGAAACATTTTAAAAAACTCCCTTTTGGGCCAAAAGAGGAAGTTTTGAAGTCACCCAAGCTGTGGAGTCAGACCAAGGGAAATGATTTTTTGTCTTGAACTGTTTCAAATTCACTGTACCCATCAGTTGAGGCTTGGCTAACACTGCATGTAGTTTATTACATGTTCACCCAACAGAACCAGTTTGCACCCTAAGGATTGAATATGGTTTAAACGGCTCTGCTACTTCCTGTGTTTTTATGGCAAACAAGGATGAAATTGAAGGTGAAGAGAGCTCAGCCTAGAATTTCCTGATGCTTAGCACTGAGATCCAGTTTCCTCAATCTCATTCCCTGCCCACCAGCCACATAGCTAGGCATTTTTTCTGCAACTTCCCTTCACCGTCTTTCCACCAACTGCTTCTAATTCCCTAGTGCTACCTGTACTGTCCTTCAGAGCCCTGGGGAAAGCAGATCACAGAGGGTAGTAACTGCCACATACCCAGGTGACTGAGAGCCGAGGGCCCTCAGATTCTCCTTGGGGGTATATACGGAGTCCTGGATCAGCTCTGCTTGCTAGATAATCATGAGCTATGCCATGCTGCTAGGAGATATTTCCCAGGAACTAGCAGGGATTGAGCCTAGGGGGAGAGATGGAGAGATAGGGTGTAGGAGAGAAAAGGATATCCAAACAGAGATCACTAGCCCAGGGCCACCAGACTCTCTCCAAGTTCCCAGTGAAGCCTGAGTAGTCCAGGATATCTGATCAACAATACAGGATGTAGAAATAAGTTCCAGCAATTCTATCCCTCTCTAGGAAATTGGAAGCTGGCCTGATATCTGGGGTATTTCCTTGGATCTTATGGATTTTCTCCACAATGTGAAGGGACAAACTAATCACTTGGCTCTTTGTCTTCTTTTTTAAACAGAAAAAATGTGATGGTAAGAAGAACATAGTCTGATTTTAGAATCATTTGAGACAGGGGCTAGAATGCCACCTACTTACAGTAGGCGAATTTGTACACACTCATGTTGTTGTTGTCAGGTGCCATCGAGTCAGAACCGACCCATAGCGACCCCATGCACAGCAGAACGAAACAATGTCTGATCTTGGGCCAACCTCACTACCGCTGCCACACTTGAGTCCATCAATGATACCACCTGGCTGATCCATCTCGTTGGGGGTCTTCCTCTTTTTCTCTGACCCTCCACCCTACCCAGCATGACATCCTTCTCCAACGATTGTTTTCTCCGGACAATATGTCCAAAGTAGGAGAGACGAAGCTCATACACATAAATTAATAAACACTCATACACACTCATACACATAATTTAATAAACATACACATGTAGGATCAGAATAAGTAATTATTACAAGGTGAGAAAATGTGATCCGCCTCAGAGAAATACTAGTAGTAAACCACGGTGAACTTAATTTGGACTCACCCAGGAGCAGGAAGAGGAGAGAGGTCCATAGAGTGGGAGAAAATTTGTGCAGCAGATTCTTCTGTGACTTTACCGAGAGAGACCCAAGAATGAAGTCATCTGTATAACTCTGCAGGTTCGCCATGATAGACTATTTGCAGCTCTTATGCAGAAGGAGGAAGAATTTACCACAACTTCCGCAATTTCGGTGCTCTAGAGTGAGTGGGTTAGAGCCTGTGCTATGAACTTTTCCACCCATTTAGATAACAAGAGAGGTGACAAGTCTATTCAGAGTCTTCATGGGATTTATAACACAATATTGAGCATCACTTAATACTTGAGACATGCTTTACTGTAAGTTTAGACTTCAGTGGTGGTACACCCAACCTCATTACACTGAGACTCTCTTCTTTACCCTATTGTCTGCAGTGGGATGTTGTCTATTTTCCTTACTTTTGGACACAGTTCAAATTTTTATTTAGGGCTCAGCCTTCTCCACCTCTCAGTCCATGTAGTGTAGATTAATGTCACATGACCAACTTAAACGAATTAGAACATTGTATTTATCTGGCCACAATGATTATTTCATGCTTCCCAGGTAGGCACCTGGCCTAAGTTGTCTAGATAGAATGCAATTCAATGTTATTGTGAATTCTGGGACGAGTAGTTGCTGTCTTTCTCTTTTTATGTTGGTGGTGAGTTAGAAGGAAGTAGTCTTGGCAGGTGCTGGCAGTCCTCAAGTGACCACAAAATGGGAGTCTGTCTAAGAATGGAGTAAACATAGAGGAGGTAGAGCAAATCCATGGAGACAGAGAAACTAGTTTTGGTGACATCATTTAAGCACTGGATTAAATCAGTGCCATAGGATAAGCACTGGACTGTTAACTGCAAGGTCACCACTAGCCACTCCATTATAGGATCGATATGAGTTGGAACCAACTCAACAGCACTTAGCAACAACAGCAAAAAGTTCAATTTTCCCCTGGAATGTTCAGTTACATAGGTGCCTTTAAGGCTACCTTTAAGATGGCTCTCAATGATGGCTGCTTCCTAGTATTTATGCATTTCCCCCTCCCACTGAGTGTGGGATGGATTTAGTACTGTGCTTCTAGTGAATAGAATGGTAGAGATGATAAAATGCCCCTTCTAGATTAGGTAACAAGGAGACTATGACTTCCATCTTGGATGTCTTCTCTCTCCTTAGCTTTCACTGAGGGAAGATGGGTGTTGTGTTGTGAGCTGCCCTGTGGAGAGGCCCTCATGACAAGGAACTGAGGGATATCTCCAGCCAATAGTCAACAAGGAACTGATGTATTTGGCCAACGATTGATGAGGATTTGAGGTGTGGCACTGCAGGATAATGCACTGGATTGCATGTTTGGTTTGAATTGCAATGCTAGCAGTTCAAACTCACCAGCCTCTCCTTGGAAACCTTTTAAAGGATCACTATGAGTCAAAACTGACTCGAAAGCACTTAACAACAACAACAAGAACCACACACGTCATGGAAGTCGATCCTCTCTTAGTTGAGGCTTGAGATATTTACAGTTCTAGTGGACACCTTGAATGAAGCTTTAGGATGGACTCTGAGCTGGAGGTACCCATCTAAGTTCTGCCTAGATTCCTAACCTACAGAAACTGTGAAGTTATACACGCTTATTGTTTTAAGCTGCCAAGTTTGTGGGGAATTTGTTATGCAGAAATAGAGAGCTAATACAATGGGACAAAAAATTTCCTATTTTGCTGAAGTCAGTTTTCATTGGCCTCTTGTCACAGGTAACTGAAAGGCTTTGAACTAAAATGGAAAAATGCATCATGGCAACTTCACTAGGACTGGATATTGCAGGTGACATTTGTGGAATGGCATTGGCTGAGTGGAGAGAGTGGTTGGGAGACAGCAAAATTCTCTTTATTTATTTATTGTTTTTGAAAGTGATTTTTTTTCTTACTGATGGTGAAATAGCTGATTAAACTGTGTTTTGAGATCCAGATTACACGTTTGTTTAGGCTGTAGCTTTAGAGGATTTGGTAAGAAAATTTCAGGATGATGGCGTGTGTAGTTTTAGCTAACATTTGGTGAGTTCTAGGAGTCCTGGTATAAGGAGCTTTGGTAGCATAGTGGTTACGAGTTGGGCTGTTAATCTCAAGGACAGCAATTTGAAACTACCAGTCATTCCATGGGAGAAAGATTAGTCTTTCTGCTCCCATAAAGATTTGCAGCCTTGGAAACCATATGTAGAGTTGCTATGAGTCATAACTGACTTCATGGCATACCACCACCACCACCAGGAGTCCTGGTGTGGTTCTGTAGGGTAAGCACTGGAATGCTACTCACAATATTGGTGATTCAAACCTATTACTGGTCCTCAGAAACCCTTTACAGGGTTGCTATGAGTTGGACCAACTGGATGGCAATTAACAACACCTCCCTCTAGCACTCTACACATATTAACTCCTTTAATCCTTAGCACAGTTTTGTAAGAGAGAGGTTAAGCAATTTACCCTGAGTTTTGCAGCTAGTAAAGATTGGAACCCAGGTAGTGTGGGAGGAGGAAGGGAGATAGAGAGGAGTGTAGGCTTCTGCTTATGGAGTACACTTCAGAGGATAGTCATCAGTTGATGCTGTACAACCCTGAGAGTGAGTGCTTCCTTAAATTTGTGCCCTAAGTGTGTCCCTTGCCTCCTGCCCTGACCCTCTGGCTGGAACATGGCTGAGCAGAGGGAGTTGCAGGGTATGTGGCTAAGAGAGGGTGCCACAACTCAGATACAGAGTCTTCTTATAATCTAACCTAAAGACAATGAGGAGCCAGAAGGTGTTTTTAAATAGAGGTGTGCGATGCTCGGTGGCCTCTTTTAGAAAGCTTACTCCAGCATCAGAGTGAAGGATGGATTGATGGAAGGGAGCAAACTGGAGATGAAAATAGGTAAGAAAGCTGTTAAAGGAGTACAGGTAAGAGTATGAGAGCAGGGGGCAGTTTATATGAGAGGAGAGGTCAAAGGTAGAAGAAGATTCAAAGATATAGATAATAATAAAAATAACCAATAACAATTGAGTTATTATTATGAGTGAGAACTTATGTTTTATCTTTTAATTCTCAAACTAACTGTGGTTGATTGAAACTCCTATTATTCTCATTTTGGGGTCCCTGGTGATACATATAGTTAAGTGCTCATCTTAACTGAAATGTTGGTGGTTTTTATCCATCCAGTGGTTTCTCAGAAGAAAGACTTGGCGATCTACTTCTGAAAGACCATAGTCATTGAAAATTCTACAGAACATTGTTCTACTCTGAAACACATAGCGCTGCCTTAAGTCAAAGCTCCATATCATCAGTCAAAACAATGCTAGGGAAGACTATAAAACAGACTATCAATTGCTCACATGCAGTTTAGACTGAAGCTGAAGAAAATTAAAATAAGTCCATAAGAGCCAAAATATGACCTGGAACATATCCTACCTGAATTTAGAGATCATCTCAAGAACAGATTTGATGCATTAGACGCTAATGACTGAAGACCAGAAGAGTTGTGGGATGATATCAAGAACATAATACAGGAAAAAAAGCACAAAAGATCATTAAGAAGATAAGGAAGTAAGAAAAGACCAAAATGGATGTCAGAAGAGACTGAAACTTGCTCTCCAGCATAGAGATGCTAAAACAAATGGAAGAAATGAAGAGGTAAAAGAGCTAAACAGAAAATTTCAAAGGGCAACTTGAGAAGACAGAGTCAAATATTATAATAATATGTGCAAAGATATGGAGTTAAAAAAACAAAAGGGAAGGACATACTCAGCATGTCTGAAACTGAATGAAATGAGGAATAATTTAAGCCTTGTCTTATAACACTTTGGGCAAAATATTGAATGATGCAGAAAGCAACAAAAGAAGATGGAAGGAATATATAGTGTCACTGTACCAAAAAGAAATAGTTGATGTTCAACCATTTCAAGAGGTAGCATATGATTAAAAGCCAAGAATATTGAAGGAAAAAGTCCAAGGTGTACTGAAGGCATTGACAAAGAACAAGGTTCTGGGAATTGATGTAATGCAAATTGAAATCTTTCAACGGAGTGAGGCAGCACTGGAGGCATTCACTCATTTATGTCAAGAAATGTGGAAGGCACCTACTGATTGGAAGAGAAACATATTTGTGGCCATTCCAGAAAGATGACCCAATGAAATATGGAATTCATGGACAATATAATTGATATCACATGCAAGTAAAATTTTGCTAAAGATAATTTAAAAATGACTGCAAGAGTACAGTGATAGGGAGCTGTCAGAGGTTCAAGACAGATTCAGACAAGGACATGGAATGTGGGATATCATTACTGATATCAGATGGATCTTGATGAAAGCAGAGAATACCTGCTCTTTACTGGCTATACAAAGGCTTTCAACTGTATTAATCATGGCAAGCTATGGACAACACTGCAGAGAATGAGTATTCCAGAACACTTAATCATGCTTATGAGGACGCTGTATATAGAACAAGAGTCAGTCATTTGATAGAACAAAGAGACACTGGATGGTTTAAAATCAGGAACGATGAGCACTAGAGTTGTATTATCTCACCATACTTATTTAATCTGTACACTGAGCAAATAATCCAAGAATTTGGGTTATAGGAGGAAGAACCTGCATCAGGATTAGAGGAACACTCATTAACAACCTGCAATATGAAGATGATACAACCTTGCTTTCTGAAAGCATAGAGGACTCAGAATACTTACTGATGAAGGTCAAAGACCATAGCCTTCAGTATGGGTTGCACCTCAATATAAAGAAAACAATAATCCTCACCACTGGACCAATAAATAACATCACGATAAATGTAAAAAAAATTGAAGTTGTCAAAGACTTCACTTTCAACCATCAACACTCATGGAAGCGGTAGTCAAGAAATCAAACGACATATTGAATTAGGCCCATCTGCTGCATAAGACCTCTTTAAAGTATTCAAGAGCAAAAATATCACTTTGAAGACTAAAGTGCACTGGACCTAATTCATATTATTTTCAATATCTTCATATACATATGCATGTTGGACAATGAAAAAGGAAGGCAATGGAAGAATTGATGCTTTTGAGTTATGGTGTTGGGAGAATAATATTAAAGGTACCATGGACTGCTAGAGGAACAA